ATGTACCACTCACACACTATAGCTCTGATGGTGGGGTAACTAGTAAGTAGGAATCATACTCTTGGAGTCACCTGGAAGGAGGATAAGCGGAAGGAAGCCACGGGGCCTCCTGAAGCCACAAGAGGCAAGCAGGGGAGTCACAAGGCATGCTGGATTAGGGGAGGGACCTGCTAGTGGGTAATAGTGGATGTACTGAGACATTTGAAGCAGTAAATTCAAACCTCAGAACACAGTGAAGGCTTTGCTTTGCCACCAATCCCTTGCAAACAGAATTGCAGAGTTCAGTGCGTGAACACCATCATGAACCAAACCTGCAGAGTTCACACACTGCTAGTAATTAGTAATTAAGTAATAGTCTCTAAGGGAAAGTGGCGGAAGCACCATTTCTTGAGTTATTTAAACCACATTGGGCGATGTAATATAGAAGGGGAAAACCCCTCTATATTAACTTTGTTTATTTATTTATTTGTTTGTTTGTTTGTTTGAAGTCTGTAAGTAGTTACAAATGAATTTAGTACAACATTGTTATAATGTTAGTTTTCCTTTTAAAAAAACCTGAATCTGGGGAAATTCAGTTTCCACAGCAACCTTCACTATCCCCAGTCATTCCCATTACATATGTCAATTACAACATAATGGATCTTTCATTCTGTGATGCTATAATCTGCACCTTTCCTCCCATCCTATATAAAATATAGGGAGATGTCAATAGTCACCGGTCTATAAAAAGTAGTTAAGATTTCAGTCTGCAAGCAGCTGTATAGATTTTTCTCCTATATAGTGGTGATCTGTGGCACATATTTTGTTTGAGTTAGGGGAGCAGGGATACCAGCAGGGACATTTTGCTATTGAATGGAAAATGAAAATAAAGGACCTGATTCTCCACTGCCTGGTACTTTATGTAGACGCTTGCATCTAACTGAGTTCAGAATGGGTATAAAAATGATACCGATTCAGAAAGGTTTGTTTTTCACGTGCTCTGCACAAGCATAAATGACTGCACAACATTCAAGGATGTGGAGAATCAGGCCCAGCATCTCCTACATTTTCAAGAAATCCTACAAGTGGATAAGATGCCCTGTGTTGGATAGAGTTCCCAATTTTGGTTGGACGTGTCCCTGGAGGTTTCATTACATGACAGAATCTTTTATTAAAGTTCAATCTTTAATTCCTGGAGACTCCAGGGCAATCCTGTAGGGTTGGCAACCCTAGTGTTGGAGAACTTGTGAATTTGCTTTTTAAAGGTATTTACTTTTTTTAAGGCCACATCTGTACCTTTTCAATTCAATCAGAATGTAGCTTCTACAAGGCACTTCATCCTTTGCTGGAATTCTAATTCTGACCTGTAGCATAGTTGCAGGCACCAACATACAGTATACTGTTTGTCATTAAAACAGATTTTTTTCTTGTCCATGATGCTTTCTTCAAATGGGGTTTATGTCCCTGTCAACATCTGCGAGAGCAGTGTGTGTGCACCTCTGAGATCTGCAAGTTTCATTCTAAATTCATCGAGAAAATGGGACATGACACCCAGCACTATGGGATATTCAATCATTTCTGACCCACTTGCACACCTGGCTTGTCAAGACCATGTGACTGTGGTCTCAACCAGCTTTTCGCATACTGCAAACAATACTTGGAATGAGAGTTTTTTTCCATAGACTTTAGAGTGTAGGTTTAAAAAAAAAACAGATGGGCCCATGCATAGGATTGGGCAAACAGGTTGAGATAAAAATAAGAACATTGTCATGCTCTGTTTCTCTCTCACAAACACACACAAACAAATATTCTGAGTACAATTGATAGAAGGCTTAACTTCCATCCTCTCCCTTCCATCTTTCTAGGGATGTCCTTTTCCCCCTCGCATTTCTCTGAGGGGTTAGCTAGTCAGTGCCTCAAGCAGGTATCTCCTATAGTTGTAAGATACCGAGCACTCCAGTGTTCGTATGACAATAAATAAGAATAGAAGAGTTGCTTTTGCCAGGAATATTCAAGGAGACACCTTCATTGGAAAGCGCTTACTGACTCTCTTCCCCATTCTTCTACCTTAGATCCTAGTTGCTTCCCACTGAACTCTGGCTCTTTAACCGTTAAAAAGCTTTGGACAGGCAACAGCTCGGAATGCAGCAGGCCAATCTGAAATTTCACTTTTCATGCAGTTTTTTTCCCCCTTCTGTATGAGCCATGATATTTTATTGCAGCTATTTGTAGCCACACACAGGTGGTTAGTTGTGATTAGTTTCAAGCAGACGTTCAGAGAGCTGGGCCCACTCCCTTCCTGCTGTTGCTGTGTGTGGACTTCAAGCTTAAAAACGCTTCCCTTTTGTGATCTTCATTATTCCTGCTAAGCTGGAAACTGCCGTTTGCACCAAAGCTTTGCACACGATGCTCTAAATGGAAATGGCCTCTGCCCCATTGCAAAAGCTTGCCGGAAATTGCAAGCAGAACTGCTGATGACATGTCAGCAGCAGGCCAATTACACCCACCTACGAAAAGGAAATAAAGGAGTCACCTGATGGAGAAGAAATATGGCGCTTTCTTTTCCTTTTTCCAAGGTGAAAAAAACTTTTGAAAGGCAAAGACTGTATTTTACTTCCTCTCAGCCTCACATATTGGCAGAGTGCTCTCAGGAACTGTAACCAGAATTTAAGCTTAAGAATGCACAGAACTCGCTTTCCCTTTGGAGTGCATGCACATACACCACAAGACATTTTCCAAATCACTGCTGCTGAACCTGGTTTAAAATCAATATCGAGACAAACAGCAGAACACAGGCCACCGCCACCATCTGCATTAACAGTTTCCCTCTTCAAGCAGAATTCGCAAGAAGGCAACTTGCAAATCAAGAGGGGATGAAGAATTGCTTAGACAAATTCTGAAATGTCGTTGCATGTCTGCTCTGACCACTTCTATTTCAAATCACTTATTTAAAAAAACCCTAAGATCAGCTCAATAAAATCAACCCTACGTGAAGACTACGCACTTCACTAGAGCAGAATCTGGTCCTATCCACTTATTTGTCTGTTCACTCAATCATATGGGCCTTTACTGAGTATTTTATATAATTCTGTCTGCATAGGTTCATAAGTCTGACATTGTCAGTGCTGGAGACACAAGGTGGGTGAGGTAATATGTTTTATTGGACCAACTTCTGTTGGTGAGAGAGTTGGTCCAATAAAAGATATTACCTCACTCACCTTGTCTCTCTACTATCCTGGGACAGACACAGCTACAACTACCTTGTTAGGACTCTAATTTTTTTTCCAGGGCAATATTTTAGAAGGGAAAAAAAGCATAGGACTTCAATGGTAAAAATATCATGAATTGCAAGCATCATTTTGTACTCAAAGGAATGGTTATTTTTCAATCGTTAGTGATTGTGCTGGGCTGGGAGTTTTCAACAGAGGATTTGCTATACAGGGGATGACCTTTGTAAACTGAATGTGACTCAGAAAATTAAAACTTTAGCCTGGGGAAAGCAGGGTTAGGCTCCATACGGACAATTTTAGGAAACAAAAGCTTTGATTGAAAGTTGACTGGTGTGGTCCTTTGTGTAGCTATCTATCATCCCCCTTCAGAGGACCATGTAGCTCAGGCTTTAACTGAGCACCTCTCAAGTTTGTTCCATTATTTACCACAATGCATCCACGCACTCACTCAAACCTGAAATTATAAAATGGCAGAAGTCTTGGTTTTGTGTGTTTGTTTGTTTGTTTGTTTGTTT